ATATTATCTATCGTAGATATTTTCATTTTAGATATTTTTATTCACAAATAGAATAATTCACACGGGTTTAACCAAATAGATATTGAACACAATTCATCACAATAAATCATATTTTGTCAAATTTTTAAGTTATAAAAGAATTTACACACACAATAGTAGTAGTTTGGTACAATGTGTTAACGGCAAGGTTGGCACTACAACATCAATAGAAATGGAGAAATGTTTAGAAAAGGCAAAATCTTACTTGGTTATTAAAAGAGAATTGTAAATGAACTTATTGTTAATGTTATTCATGAAATTAGAATTAATGCAAACAAATGAAAAAAATAAAAATAAAATTGTTTTATATAATGAAAAATGAACTTAAATCCAAATTGAACATCATTAGCCATTTTTAACCACGAAATAATATTTTTTAATTTATATAATTTCTAAAACATATTTAATCGCGTATAAGCGGGGAGTCACCTAGTGATGTACAAATAATTGGTTTTTTTGACATTGAATCATTGTTTGATATCTTTTTGCAGGGTTTGTTTTCATCCTGTATATTCACTTATTTAGGAGGAAAATAAGTTTTTTTTTTTGGGTATGAAGAGTAGGAAATTAAGTTATCAGTGGTTCAGGCCATTTTGATCTATGTGATGTGAAATGTGTTAGTTATTCTTTCTGAAAAAAGTGTGTAAACATTCGTTAGTGCAATATCAAATTTTGGTGGATTTCTTACTCATATTTGAATGATTTATATTAGTTGGCAGAAAAGAATTTATGCACGTCTACAGCAACACAAAGCTACCTACATGTTCGCGAGACCAGTGAGAAACATGTCGACATGTTTTGATCCTATGTTAAGGGTATTGGATCTTATAATTAGCAATAATAACTTACAATGGAATTCACTATTGCTCATATAGATCGTAATCCAATGTATATCCCGTTTATCTTGAAGAGGAGTTTCTTGGATTGTTTCCTATACTAGTCGACTGTACTACACAGACTACTACAAGAAGTGATATAGAAGCTGAGTTGTGTGATTTATGAAGATCGACTGTACTACACAGACTACTACAAGAAGTGATATAGAAGCTGAGTTGTGTGATTTATGAAGAGGAGCTCGTGTATTGATATTCACAAGCGTGGATTGGGCTAAAAAAAGGAAAGAGATATTTACTTGGAGGAAAGGAGAAATATATTCAGAGAATATATTTTTAGAGAAAAATAAGGAAATGATAACTACGAGGAAGGAAAGGATCTTTAGGGTTAAGGAGTTRCTCTTTATAASTATATATAGAGAGGYACGGTGGCTGAGTTTCTTTTACGCCTCTGATAAGAAAAATACAGAGAGATTGATTGAGAGAAGGCGTCGTCT